AGAGCTTGTATAGCCTCCAGCCTGGTCTCCACACACTCCCAGCCTGCTGTGGCTCACAGTGAACCCCTGTTGATGACAAATGCTAACAGGTACAGCAATTTACCTGTATCATACTCAATAAAATGTGGGTCCACCCACTCCAAAAAAGAAGATAATTTTTTATAGCTTTGTGAATTAGTGGTAATTCTTTCTTTTGGTGCTCAGAATATATATAGCATATAATGTATTGGGAAGTACTACAGCATGAAGTACAATGGAAAGCTGCTGAAAAAGTTACTGCATTGTATGAAATCGAATGTAATTTTCCCTCTCAACTGAAACACGGGCTGCTAAAAGCTTTGTGGCCTGGCCTATAAAACCTGGACTTTATAGCACAGGAGACAAAAGGCCCATTATTTAAAGCAGCTACTTGACAAATAAAACCTACATTGTGTGTGAGATTGGGGTCACATTTGGTAACATTTCAACACAAAACAACAAAGTGATGTTTTTCTGAGACATCTACACACGGCTAGGTTTAGAGATGTGACAATACAAACTTTAATTCATGAAGAAAGCTCACAGAAAAGACTGCTTTGATCACTTGAACACAATGACATACATGTCTGGATTCTTAATAATAAAGTGCATGTTTAAAAAAACCTCACCAAGCAAGAAAGAACAACAACAATAACATATAAGCAAATATGTTTCCCATAATAAAAAACATATTCAATATACTGTATTATTGGTATATTGTAACATCCCTAATTAAATTTGCAGGTTCTCATTAGGAGGTCTCTAATTCTCTGATCTGCCAACCCTTAGGAAGGAAAAGACATTTCCCTCACTGAATATGTGAAATTGCATATTGTTTGAAAAAGGCATTTGAATCACGTACACTTTTAGTTCTTCTTAATTTACCCAATGTCCATGTATCCAGTCGGTAGTTATGGTTGCTGCAGTGCTCTGTTTGAGTACAATATATGTCACTGCATGCTGGGATGGTCAGATTTGCTCAAGCACATTTCACAAGTGGGCACACCTGATCATTGAGTTGTGTGTAACAGAGGACACATGTAATATAATAACTGAACACATCTCCTGCCTGACCGAGCAGAATGTATTGGTTCCAGAAACTGAAGAGTAGTGTGACTTTTAAAGCCATCTGGGCTGTGTCTTTGCAAGAGCAGGACAGACCACCACAGTTCTGTATGTTTCACTGATGGCAATCACACCAAACTTTGCTTCTCTTGCACGAATACAACAGTTAAAAAAAACTTTTAGCGTTTAAAATATATAAAGTAACTACTACATGCCTTTGAACTGGGGAGATCACAGCACCAGCCAAAATCATGGTGCAGACAAAAATATTTGAAAAAGAAACAAAGGTAACATTTTGTGTTTTGGCTAAAAGGCCTCCTTTGAACTTTGAGTCCAATATCACATTATTCATTGTCACATTTAAATATGTCTTCTTGTTCGTTATCAGGCCTTGGGTGCCATTATAGGTCCCTTGTAGTTCTTCCTGCTTCCCTAGTAGTATCCACTGACACATCGTCTGTCAGGTTTGTTCCTGAAATTACAGTTTAACCCCCTGAAGAATCTGATCTGCTCACAAGCAGGGAGACAGGTAGGGTCCTATTGTATTTTTACCGAACACATACGTGACATTTAAGTTGTGTAAGGCATAATCTGTATGTAGGATCAAGAGGTGAATTTATGGTCCCTTTGAGAATGCTGGAAGGAAAAACATTACAGGGAAATGCATTGTGTTACTGTGTGTTCTCTGGAAAATGGCCTTTTTCGTAACGAATTAAAACTAATGTCAAACTTCGGTAGTCTATGCTGTGACGTTTTGCCTCCTGACTCCATCGAGTGTCACTGAGACATCTCCTCGAAGTTCCCATTGTCATAGTGGTAAGAGCCCTGCTCATTGTCCTGCAGGTCCATAGTGACTCCCTTCTTGGATTTCCAGCCTTTCTTGCGATTGCCTGGGTTCTGGACTGTGGCTCCATACGACGTTTTCTTCTTCGAGGCAAAGCTCTCGCTGTTAAGCTCAGTCTCCTCCGCCAGCTCGTCTTCTTCTATGAACCCACACTTGTCCTCGCTGGTGCTCTCCGGATCGGCCCAGTCCTGCTTTTCCCCCGAAGCGAAGATGGCGTAGAAGATCACGCCGGTGTAGTGCACCATGGAGGCAATCACAAACACATTCTGCCACTCCTCTCGAGTCTGCAAAAAAAAATTAACAAACTTTGAGATCATGTTATATCACAGAAAGATTGCCTCTTATTCTCTATCTTACACAACTGACACTAAACTTCTGTGAGCCATCAAGACTTCCTAGTGCTGAAATGCGGTGTCCCATATGTCAGCACAATAGTGTCGGAACCACAAACCGATAGTTGTTTCTTACATTGTTACTTACATTTGGAAATAATCATTTTTCCTTTATTACTGTTGTCATTAAGGATAAACCCCATGAGCCCTGGCCTTAAATTGAATTAAGGGCATATAATGGAAAGGGTTTTACAATTTTTCTGTGGCTCAGAATTTTGTCAACTCAGCATACAACTAAACCACGATCCTAGGAGCTGACAGGACTTCATTCCTTTCTCACTTACTCTTCCAATACTGAAATGTTGGTCAGTTTTCACTCTGATCTTTAAACAAGTCTTACATTGTAAATTCAGTAACACATTCTGACATGAAACATATTCGTTGATTATATAACGTTCATCTAATTTCTCTTTTTTTTTTACTTTTGAAACCAGTGCTTTTGATTTTCTTTGAAGTTATCCAGCCATATTGTTGAAACTGATACCTTAGCTTTACTCAAGAAACATCTGGAAGAGATTGTTGGATGTACTTTGGTCTAACTGATTATCTGAGTAAGAATAATTAAAATTGACATGACTAATTCTATTTTCAATTTATTATAAGATGATATATTAAAAGTAGAAGACACCTGCATTTCAGAGAGTTCTGAGCCCATCACTTCCACTGCTTTTATTTTTTATATTGAGAGCAAATTCTCATTTACAGTTATGGCCTGGAGATCCGTTAATACATCTTAGCAGTTGTATGGAGTAATGGAAGTCAAGTATTTTGCTGAAGAGAAGGAAATCCAGGATTTGTGTCCACATCCTCCCATTAAGCACAACAGTGTCCCAAACACTACTCCATGCTGCTGCTATTTCCAAATAAAGCAAATGACTGGATATTATTTTAAAGCTAAAAAATGACCATGTTAGCATTGGTATAGATACATTTACAGAAAGTATTTTTAAATCTGAAAGGCAGACACCAAGTATTCTCCTATGGCCATCATTTGGCCTGTGTAGCAAGAGTGCCAATGTACCTTGTGCTTTGTCATGGCCCCTACAATGAGTGGACACACCATTCCAGACAAAGTCCCAACTCCATTAGAAATCCCCATCAGAATACTGGCATATCGAGGGGCAATGTCCAGATGATTTACATTAAATCCTGCAAACAAAAAATAATGTTTATTAGAAAAAACATACAGTATACACACACACTAGGGAATTTTGTGGGAAAAAAACATGGCTCTTTTTTTCTTTGAAGCTCAGAAAAATAAGCATAAAGTCCATCGAAGCAAGAGCTTTAAAAACAAAAAAGCCAGCAGAGGAGGAAAAAGCACTCTAAGCTGTTGTGTAGATGTTCTGTAATTTTCCGTCTTACTGTACTTCAGCACAAAGACCCAAACGAAAGGCCTTTGCTTTGAATGCAGGCTGGGCCTTGTAGCCCAGAGGTAGCTGTCCAGGTAATATGACAGGCCAGCAACCCACAACTGACCGAGAATGGACAGTTGTGGCAGAGTGTGGGTGAGCCTGGTAATCTCAGACTTGAGACATAAGAGTGACCTCTGGGACTTCCTGGGCTCTTTGTCAGAGCGACCTGGGTGGCCGGAGCTGCATCACCCCTCTGTTAGATTCCAGTCTCTCCTAAAGACACCTTGCAATGTGAAAAGGGGCAGATGACAATAATAATGTTGGTTATGGAGGAGGGCAAGTACTGTTATAAAGACTGTCGTAATAAGCTTATTTGATAAACAATTGGTGATTCCACATTTGGCACAGAACTACGATTATTGAAGAGGGATTGGTGGAAGAGTTCTTGATTAAAATCCAAATGCAGTGGTTTTAACTACTTGAAAAAACAAGCTGAATTTCAATTTGCATTATTTTTGTTATTTACTTTACAGGCTGCTGTACCTACATAAATTTAAAGCTTCATCATGCAATAAAATATAAAGAATGAAAGATCTTGAGCTTAGGTGAGTTTTAACAATCCTGTAGGCAGATCCATTTTGCAGTTTAGCCACTTAAGTTCTCTAGGAGTCTCCAATGCTATCAAATATTTAGATAATGTGCATCTGCTCTGCACTAGAGTAGGTTAAATGCATATTTTAAGAGCCACAGAAAATTCATATACAGCACCCTTAGGACTTTTGTTCATTCATTTAGAACATTTCTTTAATTAAAAACGCATGTTTCTTTAATTGATTATTGATAGTTGTTAAATTACCGGCATGTTTAAGTAGATATCCAAGCTTTTTTCTAAATGCACACCATATTTTCCTCCTAGAAATTATAATGCTTTCTTTGTGAATGTAAATGTCAAGCACAAGCGTCACCAACCACACACATTGAATTACACTTTGTGGCTGAAAAAATTAATTTTTTATGTAAAACACATAGGAAATCCATTCAGTTTATTCTCATAGTGCATGTATCCCTACAGAACATCTGCTGCAGCCTTGTGTTAAAAATGAAACCAGACAAAGGTAGAACAATCAGTACTTATGTTCGGAATAGTTTTGGCAAAAAAAAAACTTTTCTTAAGAATGGAAATCTGTCTTTGAACCTGTGTCAAGAGCTGCTTAATGAGACAGTCTCCACTATGACAATGGAGAGGATTCGTTCCTACATGATAAGCACTCTGGAACGATCCTATCAGATCTGTGGTCCTTCACTTGAATTTTTAAAAAACGATTGAGGTCTATTTATCCCTGATTGTTTTATACATCCATTCATTTTTTGGTGACTTACATCGAAGAGTTAGACCTCAGAAAGAAAACTGTAGAAAGGTATAAGCATGTTTGAAGCATCTTTACTGGCGTTTTTGCTGATGTATTCTGAGATGTTTCTAGTACATTTTATGCAGTACCTTAGTTTGTGTTTCTTGTTAAAAGTTTTAAATCGCTTTAAAGAAAACAAAAAATGAAACCAGAGTCTAGTTTTGCTGTACATGTGGTGAGGACAGGCTGCTCACCAGAAATTGCAAATCCACTGAACCCCACTGCCAGAACCAGGAAGGAGATGGCTACTCCTCTTGTGTGAGAAAAACCCACCACAAGGAGCAGCGTGGCCTCCATTCCAAAGCCTGTGGACAAAGAAGCCGTTCATATCGCACATGAACTAAGCACACTTCAATTTCAAATTCATATCAGGTCATAGATATTCAGGATTATCACAAACATGTTACTGATTTTTGTGTCTAGCGTTATCATGCACTCCTGAATTTTTACCCCTCTTTTCCAATTTAGTTGCGTTTGCAGAAAATGATAAAACTCCTTTGGTAATACCTTAAAAAGATGAACGGGTGTCTCCATTTTTCTCAAAACAGGAATTTTACACCTACCGCCACAATTCATGATTTTTCGGACTGTTGTTGTGGACAAGATCTTCCGACTCCTCAGGAAATCTGCTAACTGTCCTCCGATGGGGACAACAATAGTCATCACCATGTGAGGTACTGCTGACAGAATCCCAACCTGGTGCCAAAGGAAATGACTGTAAGTGCAGGATCAGAATGGCGATGGGTTCAGCAGTATTGGATTTCTGCTTGACTGACATCTGAATAGCACACAGTCATGCAAGCATTTCCCAAACGGCATTTCTGTGTGTCCAAAGAAGACACTGGGACATAACATAATGGCATGAATCAATATTAGGAGCTTGTTTCAACTTGAATTGATAGAAATGTTTCCTAAAATATTGTTATGAAGTGAATCTAGATACAATGGGTAACACCTGGCTTGTGTCAACATTCCTGACTTAAAGCAAGGGAATGTCTTCTGAGATGTAAGGGTCCCAGATTCAATGATCAGTGCAACTGGAAAGTTTACCTTGGTTTACCTCAGTTAATTAAGTTCTGGGTAAATGTCAATCAACAGTCCAGGAATTGAACATAAAATAGGGAGACGGGAGGGAAAAGGAATGAAGATGAAGATAGAGAAAAGAAGGGAAGAGAATCAACAAGCAGGAGAGAGGGAAGGCAAGAGCTCCCTGTCCGGATCACCTGGATAAAACAGATTAGATCTAAGTATTTGAACCCAGTTAAGAGAACCTTCAATCCTGTGATATTTAGGGAACTCCAATTTCCTGCGTAAAGAATCCCTTGGCTACAAATGGCCTCTCCTGGTTATTGGGTGCATTTTTGGAATAGGAAGATAGGTTCCCATTCAGTTTGCAGCATTTGAATTTGCAGAGAGAGAGAGAGAGAGAGAGATCTGCAGACACCCAGATCATATTCTGTTAGTTTAGAAGGCAGCTTTCTCTTCAAATACTTGGTAGCAGTCTGGGGTTTTCTGGGTGGTTATGACGTTATGCCTTATTTGTCAATGTTTACATAGTGTAACTTGTATGTTGTATATTTATGTTGTATTTGTATTGTCATTGTTAATAAACACTTGTTCAACCCAGTGTACCTGAATTATTACTCTTTTCACCAAAACTGTGCCAGAGAACAAAAAACTAACGTGGCTCTAATTATACCAACTGCTTGGTAACATCCTTGGCAGAACCTTTATGTAACGCGTACGGCCACCATTGCAGGTTGTGAGAGCTGGCTTGCCAGCGTGGTGACGTCACCTTCTTTCCCTGTGAATAGCAGGGACCTCAGCCGTCAGGCTGAGGGGAGATTTCCCTTTGGCTCGAGTGGCTGGGTCCCTGTTGAGTGACGCCAGGGGCCCGGGTTTGAGTCCCTGACGGTGGGGGGCCGACCTGAGGTGGCAGCAGCAACGACGCATACCCACATGAACCCCGGTACATTTATAAGCTGGGGGTTATGATTATTTTAATTATTGATTTATCCGCTTGGTTGTTCCTCATATTTCTCTAGATCTGTAGCCCCCGATTTGTAACAATGTCATGCTTCTTTTTTGCGTGCCACTAAAAATGACAGGTCTCCGATACATCCAGATGATAAGGACAATGCAGCTCGCTCTCTTGCTGGACCAGTAATGGCACACACTTGAGAGCACACTTGAGAGTCCTGTGACTGGGATTACGCACTTGGCTGATGTAGGGTCAGTCAGGGCTCTACTGGTTCCCACTGACCCTCCTCATCTTCCTGGTTACCTGCAGGCATGCAAGCCTGTCAGCTGGGGCTGTTCCTCTCCTCTGATCAGCTCTGAACCTCCCGCACAGGGAGTGCGAGACAGAGGGCTCTGCCCACACTTCCTCTTTCTGTCAGGGTTTTCTGCAGGACACTTGGTTCTGGTTGCGGTGTGGTGTCATTTAGGGTTGTGTTGAAGCTGAGTGGCAAAACTGGGGCACGTTGCCCAATGATAACTGGCACATCAGGGTGAAACCGACATCTTTTGGATCTCATAAGAGTGGAGGTTTAGAGCCAATGGGAATAAACTGGGAAAACAGACAATTCTAAGAACCAATGAATTACCAATTACTTAATGACCAATTAACCAATTAACCCAGGCCTACCTTACTGATAGCGAAACCAAACACTTCTTCGAAATAGGCCGGCTGGCTGATCAGCAGCAGGTAGAAGGTCCAGCTCCTACAGAAGTTGGCCACGATGATGGCGTAGACTGGCATGGATGTGAAGAACCTTCTCCAGGGGGTCTTGAATTTCTAGAGATGTTCAGATCCATGTCGTATTGTTAATATGATATTTTTCATGGCTTCAAAGCACTTCAAGCTTATACGTTTTTGAGCGCAAATGGGCCCCGTGAGTCACTGTGAGTTCTGGGAATGAACATTTTTTTTAGCTCTTGTGTTTCACAACACTGGAGGTATGTAATCCACCTGTTCGCATGGCAGCTTTTCTGCACATGTGAAGGATATCCCTCTATAACGTAACTTTGAACAGTGAAGTTGGACTCACAGAAATCAAATTCAAAACTTCAAAGCAGAGTTTAACACTGTAAATGCAATGCAATTGAGATGTTCTTGGAATATCAAATTCTTTCTGATGGATTATTAAATCCATCTTGGTGGATTCAAATATTGAGATCTTATTCTGATCCACAATTCTGTCTATTGTAGAGAAGTACCTGATATATTAGCTATCTGTGACACTTTCTTACTCTTTTACATAAATTGCACAAGCAGGCCATTCATCTAACAATTAATAATGTATTTTTCCTGGTTTACAATGTCATTTTAAATTGCAAACATTACAGAGAATTCTTACATATCATATTTCCAATACAAAATCTCTAGCTTTACTTTTTGTGTGAAAGATGAATATTCTACATTACAAGCATTGTCGTGTTATAATTATACAGCTGTGATTTAATCTCTATCACTAAACAAGTACAACTATTACTTGTAATATGCAATATTTACAATACTTAATACTTACAATATATTACAATTTACATATGTAAAAATACATTTTGACTATCTCAACATTTGAGCACATTTTGTGAAAAGACAGTAGCAAATCTTCGACATATTTTGCACCACTGGGGAGAAATGATTTATTTTGAAGGGAGCCATACCTCAGTGGCACTCAGTAAGTTCATGCCCTCCCCTATGGTTGTTTCGATGTATGTCTTCTCTTCTTCGGTGATCGTAGGATGCACAGCAGGGCTCTCGTAAGCAAGCAAAAGCCAAAAAATGTACCACACTAACCCGAACACTCCTAATGGCAACAAACAACACAGATCAAAACTCTCCTTCTCCCTTCAGGAAAGAGTCTTGCATTATCTGAAGCTCTTCAGCATATAACACCTCTATTTTTATATCGTCCCCATGCTGCAGGGGCAATTTAAGTGGTACTTGTTTTCTTTTCTGAACAAACAATAATGAAATAACAGCTAAATAACACTTTATAAATGTATGTATAGTGTACACTTTAGTACACAAGTCTTGAAGACATTGCCTGGTGTAGACTTTCACTCAGTGTTTTTCCTTGTTTTTGCAGGAACACAATTCTACTTTTTCTCCTGCTGAAAGTATAGCCTCTTTGATTAATCTAGTACTACAAACCCTGACAGATTTGCAGTACAAAAGTAGCCTGTTAGCATTAATAATTGAGAAGGCGATGAACACTGCCTCCAAAATTCTCCATCTACGAAAGCGATTTAAGAGCACATGTCAGATTTGCAAGTTGTCTCCTCTCTACACTACAGGTGGGGCTGAAAAAGCAATACTCCATTCTCGTGTATTGCCCTCTTTCCAGTTATAGCCCAGGCTGGAAAAAGGCAACGGTATGGTATTTTACATCTTCCTTGGACTGCAAAATGGCTCAAAAACACACTTGATTCAAGCCATACAGTAGTACCTGTAACTGTGAACACAATTCAATCTGGACAGACGTTTTAGTAAGTTAACGCATCCAGCCCTATCCCAGCAAGCAATGGACATGAGGCAAGACACCCTCTGGACTGGACACTTCCAAGGCAAGCAATGTAACATTAGATTTACAGAGAAGGAGATGTAGTGGAACAAAGTCCATAGCACTCTGTGACCCTCACGGTAAACATTCAACTGCTCAGTTTACAAATCAGGTAGCAAATAACCCAGATAATGGACTGATGGGTTCAAATATTAGCTATAGTATGTTCAAGTTTACTAGCATAGCAAATATAGGACTGCCAAACATTATTATAAGAAAATATTATTATTTTTACAAAAAATAAGTTGTAATAAATTAGTTTTTTATTTAGATTTTGCATGCAAATACATTTTAATGCAGCCTCAATTATCAATTTTAATGGGTGTCATTACAAGGCATTGCTAGATATCACACTGCAATTACACTCAATGCAATAGAGGATTTAGTAAAGAAAGGGACATTGGGAACACAAATGAGTTGACAAAGACAGGGCAGGTCTTAGCATATTTCAGGATGAATCGTAAACACAGGCTGCACTAACCTTTTATCTAATGTTAACATGTTTGAAGGCATCTTCTGAAAGACGCACTATTTCTCTATAAACCTGAGAGATAATGGAAAAAAAGACCTTATCTCTTGAGCCGGTTTGAGCTTGGTTTTTCTTTACCAGTGTATTATGTGGCCAAATCCTTATGCATTACGGATTACACACCTGGCTTAGACTAATAAAAATGGATGGCAATCTTTGGTAATTTCCTCCATTTGGGGTATTAAGTCTTTATCAATGCCATCTGAAGCTGTTTTATCTCTCCTTTATCTGCAATTAATGGGCAGTGGGCGCCTTGTAATCTCGTATTCGTGTATTTGAACATCAGCCAGTTTGCATTCTCCATGCTTCATTCCCAGTGCATTTTGTAGTCTTGTTTGGAATGCTTTGTTCTTCGAAGGCCTTACCATATACATAGAAAACAGATGACCACCCAACGTACTGCACCAGGACACCTGCCAAAGGCATAGCAATCACGGCACCAGCATATGAACCTGTAGACAGACCACATTACAGTTGGAGAAAGAATGTTGGAGTGTAAAAAGATCATAAGTTCAGCTATAAATGACGGTAGGCTCATCTTGTCTATTTGGTAAGTTAGTTGGGGATCACTCTGAAGATCTCATCCACTCATATCTTGAAAGACCTATTCCATCATTTTGCCATTCCATTGCTTATCCCACTATTTATCTCTGCTAGTGATGACTATATGGCATGGTTTAACAAAGCAAAAATCAACAAAGTAGCAACATGCACCATCTGATCTACAGGTGCAAAGGCACAAGTCACCATTAGGATTAGGGGGATTGCTGTTTTACAAATCATTCTTTAATTTTAGAAAACGCGTGCCATCACAAAAAGCCTGAGATTGTAACATTAACAATAAAAGTCATATTCTATGGTCAGAGGCTTCCAGACATGTTTTGATTATATGACCATTGATATTATTTTGATTGTATTGTAACAGGATATTCAATATAATAACAATTAATACCAGGAAAAAGCAAGTTATTTCCGAAAGAGCTTAATACAAAGTATCCAAGAAGGAATAAGACTTAATATGCCTAAGTAAAAGAAATATCTTCCAGCTGTGGGCTGAGGCAGTTGAAACATCTGCAGGTACTCTTCATCAAAAACCTAATGTAGAGAGCACAGGTCTCCATGGCACCAAATGCTCATTAAATCAGAAGGCTCGTTTTCTGCATAACATTGAAAATATACTGCAGTACAAAGCAAAGAAGAATCAATTTTCCAACTTGCACATTTATAAATAAACTCCTCAGAGCAAACAGAGACATCTTTTTTACCCTAACCTCCAAACATATGCTCAAAAATATAATTTGTATTTATGTATTTATTTATTATTCTTTATTTTGTATTTAAAAAAGACCTGCTACAGAAGGAGAAATTGGACAAGATGAGAAGTAGGAGTTTATTACATCTGGTCTTTTGAACAGATTTCTGAAATCAAAGTAAATGGAAACATTACAATTAGGTGTGTTTTTCATTTTTCATATGTGATGTGATTCTTTTTTTGTTCATTTTTTTTTATTTTGTCAGTAAGGGTATTAGTTTTTTGCTTGGGCGTTTCAGTATCATCATTCAAGGGAATCTCCACAATATCATCAGTGGTCAAAAAAGCAAATCTGTAAAGTTGGACTCCACTCTGTGATTCTTGATTCCAAAATACGAGATATAATCCCTTTACTAACCATGTTATGGATACCTAAAGCAAACTCGACCATCTGAGTATAGTACAGTGATATCTTAGTGATCTCTACTGAAAAGAGTGGTTGAATTATCTAATTGATTGTAATAGATATGTTGCTGGGTTGCCTGGTAGCACAGTGGTTAGCATTCCTAGATATCTGTGCATTCTGAACTAGACCCCTAAACATTTTAGATGGAATTGATCTCCACAATTTGTTAAACGATTTATCATTGTTTATAGACAATAGTCTACCATAGCTGCAGCATCTGATCTGGAGGACCTTGCCCCGTTATCCCAGGATCTCTGTGTTGGTTGTCTGATAGTGTTTTCCCCATTCCCGGGTATTTTAACCTCGTCACATCTCCGGAGGGATCTATGGTAAACGGACTCTTGGACTGTGGCCTGACCCTCCTTCGGACCTGCTAGGATTTGGACGCCACTCTTTGTCTCCCCTGTTCACTGTCTCCTGGACTGTCACTGTTATTTTGTATACCATTAAACCCCTGTGTGTTCTCCCATACCACGCTTCCTGTTTCCTCCAGCTCTTACCGCACTGCATAGGGTGTACTACAGCACCCGACGCGGACTGCAGACCACGTCCGTAACACTGATAGTACACAACCACCAACTAGTTGTAAGGGGACTCAAACTTACTTACCACTGTCCAAAAGATACCGGGTCGCTGTAAATTAAGACTAGGTGTCCCCAAGAAGATGAGAACTATAGAGACACTGACCACAGAAGGATGTGGTGGCCAGTCTGCTCCGTTCCAACGGTGGCGCCCATTTGCTCCACATCCCATGGCATGCTGGGTAGGTAACGCCCTAAACACGGATACATCAAAATTCTGTGATTAAAAAAAAAGGCATGGTTTATTTACTTATCAAAGTGAAGGAGACTCTTTGATCACATATTTATTTACAAATAAGCATTGTATTTAATTTTAATGTCGCAGAGATGCTTGAAGTGGATAATGCAACTCCCGGACATCCACCCAGGTTGGCGAAGACAAGGCCATTCAGAGCTTACCAAGGCCGAGAAATCTGTGGTGCGTAAAAACAACACTCATGGGAAACAAGGTCTGCATTTTCTTATTGCTACAGTGGTGAACACTGTTCAGTGAATGCATGATGTACGATTTATTCTGATTGAAGAAAGCAGTGGCCTTCACTCCGTTTCACACCATGACCACAGTACAAATTGATATTGCTATTTGAATTAATTCAATTATATTTAATTTTATTAAGGTAGGAGAGCTTGAAACTCCATTGTTTATCACCAAAGGCTTTCCAAAACTATGTTGTTGTTGTTGTTGTTGTTGTTGTTGTGTGATGGGTGAACTGTCTCTTACCTCCACCAGGCCTTGAAGGATCCTCACAAACATAACACAACCGTAGTGGACTCTTGCCGCAGACGGTATAAACATATTGAGCATTGATGTCAAGAAAATAGCAGCTCCGAACACCCTAGGAGAGAAACACACATGTTTGTATTTAATTGCTGAGGAGTGTTTCTGGCTGCAGTGTGATTAGGGAAAACATCGTTATACTCAGCTCTTGATGTCTAGGGAAACGTCTCTGGTCACTCATAGTCAGGCCATATCAGCTTAAAACAAATGTACAGCCTCTCTGGACTTCATTGTGGCTTCACCTTAGAAACCTCAAAACTGACTCTTTCATTACATACAGTACCTGAATTCAACTTTGTCTTATGTGCTGTTCGTTTGTGTGATATCTTTGATTGGAAATTGGTTTTGAATTATTTGCTTGTTCCAATTTTTATACCTAGAAATTATCATTGATTAAGAGATTATATAAAATATCATTGTTTCATGGGTATATTTATCCAGTTAAGATAGAGGTTCTAGTGAATATGCATCCCAACTCTGAATTGTATCAGTTTAGCAATAATATTATCTAATGCCTTTGTAATGTATATTTAAGGTTCAGTAAGCTCCAAAAGGTTTGGCTGTCAAAAGAAAACCTTGCAAATCTTAATTTTCTAATGTGACATCTCCATTCCTGCTTCACTATTCCTCCCAAATATCCTAAAAAATGATACCACAACTTTTTTATTGTTTTCTTTCCATTATTATTAACAAAACAAATGCATTTGACTTCTAGGGTGAGAGAATAATAAATAATAAAGCAGGAAAACTAAAATGGTTAAGAAGAACATCTGCACCAATAGAAAAGGCAAGAGGCCGTGTGGAAATGTGGTCAGGCCTCTGGTCTCGGAAGCAGGAGGATATTAGTTTAACTCCTATGTGTTCCATATTTATGGCACATTATGGTACATTGCTCTATTAAACCACTTGACAGGGCTAACAGATGCAAATGTGCTTTATGTTGAAAGGGTTGTTTCTTTTCCACCAAGCAAAATGTGGACATTAATCATTCTTTTTTTTTATTTTAGAGAACAAAACAAAACCATTTTACATATAAACCACCATTATTCAGCCATACTTTTACAATTCACTTTCGAATATACATCACAAACAAAAATTGTCTATTCCTGTTTGTTCCCCTAGTATTTTACAATTATATAATTTTTAAACAAAACTATATACAGTACATAGTTACACAGTCAACATGAGGAAGATGTATACATTTATGAATCTGAAAAGGGAGGAGACTATATAAATATACCTTATTAAATTTCAGTTATTTTGTATCTCAACAAAAACCGACGTTTAAGGTTTAATGTACTGAACCCATCTAGACAAATATTTGACAATTTTTTTCATTATATATATATTCTTTATTAATTTAATCCAATCAGTCATTGTTGGTAGATCTGTGAGAAGCCACTTTCTTGGTATAGCTTTCTTCCCTGCTGATATAAGGATTCCAAGCAAATATTCATCAGTTCCCCTCCAATCAAAATCCAGTTTACCAAAATATAAAGCCTCAAATGTAAAGGGTACATTCCTTTCAAATATAGTTTCCAGGGCCTCATGTAATTCCTTCCAGAAAAGCCTTATTTTAGGGCAGTTCCAGAATACATGCCAATGACCACCTTTGTTTCCGCACTGTCTCCAACATTTAGAGTTTTCCCCATTATGGTGCGCCTTCTGACTCAGAGGAATGAAAAATTAATTTTTAATGTTTTTTCATAAATGCGAGTTAGTACATCTCCATTGAAATTCACAAATTTTAAGCCACTCTTCATTCTAAATTCTAACTTAACTTTCTTTCACCCATATGTCTTCTTTCACCCATATAGAAAATGATTTATTTTCAATAAAACCTTTATATAATCTAGATTTAAATGAATCAAGAATACTACAAACTGGCATCCTTCTTACAAAGTCTCTATGTCTACCTACATGGTAGTGTCTGAGATTTACCTTGATTGTGATTTTGCCTGTCCCATTTTAAAGCAGGACATGTTTTCTGTTTAAAACACATTACTCCAGCAATGTCTATAGAGGTGAGTGCTGAGAAAGGCACTGTGTCCTGTGCCTTCTTCATTGTTTTCAGCACACAGCCATAAGTAGCTTTATAAGGCAATTCATTAATTAATAACAAGTTTGCAACACCTCCAAACACTTTGTTAAATATTCATGGATTTATGATGATGTATCGGTTCTTGGGGTTCCCACCCTTGCTGCTCCTGCCCTGCCAGTTCATCCCTCACTCCCTGGGCACGAGCCCGGATCTCCAGTGTCACGCAACAGGGAACTTGCCAGCTGAGCTAAAGGAGATCTCCCCCAGCCTGGGCGGCTGAGATCCCCGTTATACGCAGGGGTGTATTCGTTACAATTACATTGTCCTTTATCGGTTTTTAACAAGAACAATGGTCCTGAGCCAACTATTTGTAATCAAGATATTTTTAGTTCATAATTTCTAGAAATAGGCTTCAGAATGCCTTAAATACATTATAATGATAGAAACCAAAATGACTTCACAAAAACTTCTGTATTAAAGAAGACAATCATTTTATTTTTTGACATTTCAATATACAGTCCTGTCCATCAGTGGTCACTAGTCCTTCTTGACTCAATTAGCCATTAAACCAGCCAGTCAGGCTAGATGGCCTTTCCTGTGTTCTGTCTTACTGTATATTCTTATGTTCTCTAGCAAACTAGAAATTTCAAATATCTTGTGTTCATTGCTTTCAGTTCTTAGCCTTAATGAAAATGAGAAAACAGAATTGTTTGTTTAATTGTTTAACTTAATTGTTGGTTGTACTTTGTTATTGCAGCATATGTTTCAGTGTCTTATTATACTGCATCAACCTACAGACAAAACCTGTTAAATAATAAGCTTTATTTTACAGATCTCTAGATCTCTATATCATATTGTTTCCAGGTGCTTGGTTTCAGTTGCTGTGCTGACTGTTCTTTAAGTATGAGCTATGTCAGTATGGGCATCAGGGGAAGTAGTGGTCAGGAGGCTCATAATGGGTGTGTCTGGATGTTCAATTAGGGAGCTCCGTCAGCATACGTAGGCTACAAAGGAACAAGCAAAGGTTTATTCCCTGCTGAAAAGAGAAGAAAAGAAACACAATGTTTCAGCATTTCAGCCGTGGAGCCTTCTTTGGGTGTCTGAATGTTCATGTCCCTGCAAGCACCGGGTGTGAAGCAGGACACACCCTGGACAGCACACCTGTGCATCACAGGGCTCACACAGACACACATGCAGACACACACACTCACACCGGGGCCACTTTTTCCCAGAAAACGGTGTGTTTTGGGATGTGGGAGGAAACCAGAGCACCTGGAGGAAAACCCCTTTGAACATTCAGAGAACATGCAAACTCCTAGACCCACAACAGAACCCAGGATCCCAGCGCTGTGTGGAAGCACTGCTAACCACTGCGCCACAGTGCCACCCTATTGCTGTTATAACCCCTTCCACGCAGATTGCCCCGGCAAAATGCCCAGAGGTATAAATGGGTATAATTATGCTGTAAATTGCTTTTACCAAAATGTCAGTCAACTTGATTTTTCAAAATAGAATAATAAAAGATCCTGACTGCATCAGGGATGGCATTGATTGACATTAGCTGTACAAACAAAGGCCTCAGGAGCCAAATGCAGGAGAAACTGGATCAAACCATGAGTGCTGACTAGCCTGTAAGGCAGCTGCTCTGTTTCCCTGGCACAAAAATGCGCGTGCAAAAGGACTCGGCTCGTGTGAGTTCGAGGGACAATATCCTGACGTCTTCCAGGAAACCAAACAAGCCTAAAGGACTGAATGACCACCTCCTGTTTGTAACCCATCTTGTGTTCTTGTGGAACGGCGTTCAGAAACTGGTGATTATGAAGAACAATCATTATGACTCTCGTTACATTAGCAGCCTCTGGTGGCCGCCCCTTGATCATTACAACCCCTCCTCCTCCCACCCCAGTCCAAGCTGAACGGAGCAGTGTGGACAGATAGCATTTCTCATCAACTACACGTCTCATTTCCATTCTGCATTTTCAAAAAATAATTAAAAAATATAACTTGTATGCATCACGTTGATGAAATCTTTTCTACTTTATGTTCAGCATTTTACATTTGTGTTATTTAGAAGACAGCCTTTAACAGGTCTGGAGGGAAAAGGAGTTAAAGGTATACAAGGTCTTTATTATGCTGTACGTATCATTCAGAGGTTGGATAAGCTTTTCAATTGCAACATACTGGTACTCCTACTCTTCGTCTCAAAGCTTTTACAGCACACCATTTCTGAATCTCTTTAAGTTCAATCAAC